TAACAACAAAATGTTCTTGAAATCAACTTTGCTGGCCTATCCGAATCAATAGCAACAATTTCAAATACAGACTAGGTCTGGAAGGTTACACACAATTGACTGGTCCAGATATACAAAAGCTCTAGGCCTATGCGGACAAAATTTCCTTTCATGAGTGATGAAATTGTCAAAAAAACAGAGCACAGTTGTCACATGAATTTTCAAGAATGAATCAATTACATAAGATCTGTTGCATTAATGAGGATGGACTTATCAGGTATCTTCCATAACAATTTATAAATAATTACTTCCAACACAAAGTTTATTTCATCATCTTCTATAGCATCAAAAAACCCAGGCAGTCTTCACAGCTTCTGGGAACTTGTCCCTAATCGCCCACACAGTGCAAGATGGGATGACCCTTCTGTCAGATTTCTTTAGCCTGTTAAAATCCTACCACATGAAAGCCATTGATATCCATCATGTCGGCATTTCCTGTAAGAAGAGAAGTACAATAAAAAGTTTGAACAGGCTAGTTAAAAAAAATCAGAGTGACTATTCTTACACCATTCAAAAATAATTAGTATTGATATTACAGTATAATATCTTTATAAAGAAGTAATCATTCTGGCACTAATCATCAATAATAATTTTTGTTGAAAATCTATATATTCTAATTAACCATCACTGTGAAAAGCCCATATTCAAATGCATTGCAAAGTAGTGTAACATAGCTGCGACCTATAATACTTTTTTACCTAATTATTTTGAATAGAATTTATTACTTCATTAATATAATACTTTTTTGTAATATAAAAATTAGTTTAAAAATGAAGACAATAACAATATATGTACAATAGACTATCTTGATACTCAACCTTTTCTAATGTACAGTGTAAGTAATAATAATGCCCCTGTATTTTGACCATCAAAATGGCTGGACATTTGACCCTCTACTAGTTTTTGATCCAGCAGGGAAACCTAGTGCAGGTATGGTTGTATTTCCGAGCAGAATGCCGAAAATTAGTTTTAAACTATACTGTATAACCATTGCCAATGTATCTCTGCACATTTTTCCAAGCCATTTTCCGCGCAAATTTGAGCTAGTTTTCAAGGTATCATCCACATTCCACGACGAAAAAACTGGCATTTTAGTAATGCTGTAGTAGTAGTAGTAGTAGTAGATCCTAGATAGTTCCATGGATATAATAATTAACATGTAAATTAATGTACTTTATTTAAAATAGTGTTGTTTGTTTGCCTCTAATGTTTAAAATATTATTATTATAGTTTGTATGCCTAGGCCTAAACTAGGGGGGCCTAGGCCGCGCCAGGCAGTAGAGTAGTATTCCGTATTCTCTACATACATGTACAGTACTGCACTAAATGCTAGGCTATGCCTACACAGGTAAGACAAGTTGGTATTAAACAAACCTATTTAACGCCACTATTAAGATCACCACTTCCAAGACTTCCTTATCCAAACCAGCAAACATATCTTGAAGATATTGATTCTTCAAAAACCCAGTTCACGAGCCTTGTTTTCGAATACCGCGCTCCAAAATCGAGTGCCGTCACCGTCATTGTGGTCGCCCATCCCTCTATTTTAAATTAAAAATCAATCGTTTCATCCCCGCACCCCCCCTTTAATAGGCATGATACAGTAGTGGGTAGTGCTAGTGGCAGTAAGAAAGACTTGGAGAGACCAGGGAGTTGTTATCACTATAACAACTCCCTGGAGAGACCTAGCCTAGGCCAGGCCTGGCATATTTAGTGCATAATGCATAGACATAACATAGTCATAGGCGTAGACAGTTCACACTGTTCTCTCTGCTATTTATCCTTAGTGAGGATATAGATAGGCTAGGCTAGCGTAGCCTTAGGGATATGGCCATAGGGCCTTTGTTGGCCTAGCTAACTGCAGCCTTGCCTCATAGCCTAAACTAAATAGCCTGTTTAGTTATGAGAATGGTAATTAGGCTGTGTTCTCATAATTAATAGGCCTTTTTCACGAATCGGTAGACATCTTTATGTCTACCGATTATATTAGTTGTACTTTATTGTATTTTGTTTGTAATTTTTTGTTTAGTGCTTTTATATTTTTGTTTTTGTATAATTACAAAACTTGATTGGTGTTCAGTTCATTTTTGTATAAGGTGGAGTGAGTGCAGTATCTGTTTTGGCTTGTGCCTATTCTCACTCCGGGCTTAAATTGTACTTGATGATTGCCAAATAAATATTATTAAATATTATTATTATTATCTTGAAGTGATGACAAACATTGAGTTTCAAGAAAATCTGAGACGGTACCCAGCCATGATTTTCTGAAAATTTGTTGAGTTGGCACGGAATGACCCTATTGCAGTAGTGATACACTATGTACACAGTTTAGTTTTTGTTATTTATTCGTTAACGTTATCATATTAATATATAAATTTAATGTATTGTTTAAGTATGAATTACTATGTCCATGTTATCTATTAAAATTGTATATTTAAATAATATATTAATAGGCACTGATAACCGAGGTCTAGCCTAGACCAGTCCTAAAACAAATGAATATGTGAGTGTATAAAACTATGAAAAATATGAAGAAAAAAATGCAAAATTGTGAAAGAATAAAGGAAGAAAGAAGAATAGGAAAGAGATTTGGAGCGGCTGAAATATTTTCCGAAAATATACAATAGTAGTCAATATGCTATTATTGCATTACGTTTTTGTAAACAATTTTGGGCACTAATCGTCAGAGGTCTCGGTGCCACAGCCTACACTTTTAATAATTTGAAATCGTGATTTCCAAAATCTCTTTATATGAAATAAAGAATAATTAACGTTTAGAAAACAAACTAAAACAAATGTCTTACCTGGAAGTACGTGTAAATGTACAATATGATCGGATGAACATAATCATGAGTGCATCGTTGTATGTGTTTCTGTTGTTTGTTCTGAATGATGATGATGAACGTTCTTTTTCGTTGGTTTGAAAAATTTGCACGTGTAGATAACGCATGTAATTTTGTTCTGTATTTATACACATTGTTCTGCATGTACGCATCAACATCTACTTATTGTAGCGTATGAAAAAATAGGCCTACGTTAATTTTTAATGCATAAAAATAAATTCGTTTTTTAATCACTTATTTAATAATTAATTATTAATATTAAAATATTAGAATATTTATGTGTACAAAGTAGATAGTATATAATAGTAAGAAATAAGACAGTTTTATGGTAGAATATACCATAGTAGGTAGGTTTAAGAAATAGGAAAATATATAGGTAAATAGTTTAGGGTGTAGCTTTTGAATGGGAGAAAAACGCCTGAGGTCACAGTCTGCACCTGAGTCCTATGTCGGCACTAAGGCCTATAATGCATCTTGAGGAACTAAAGTTAAAAACTCAATCAAGTATTGTGGTGTAGGGAAGTATTTTGTTTGTTTGAAAGCCTTACTGTGTCTGTGGCAGTTGATTGAACAGAAAATTACCTGATTTCGTCATAGGTGAATATAATGTTTTCTTTACGTTTTAAGTTTACTGGTCCTAAGTTCTGATTAGCAACATGCTTAAATAAATGATATGTACTGTATAATACTATTGATGATGGTTATTAAATACAGGTCTCCTTCCAATCTACGACCACTTTTGGGACCGGGATTTTTATGGTCTTTAGCAGCTTCGGTCTCTAGTTAGAATAATAAAAATTATACATAGTCAATTTGCGACCACAGAGAAGTGATCTTTATTTAGAGGTAGTCTTTAATTGGAGCGGTCTTTCATTAAAGGGAGATAGTAATCAAATTTAATGTGTACGTAATTAGGTCAAATGGAACAAAAGAGCCAACTGTACTCATTGAGAGAGTAAACAAATGATAGGCCCTAGTACGCAGCCAGTGTAAGATGCCTGCTGTCATTTGTATGTCCACCCACGTCCTGTACCATTGTCATGTCTGTTTTTCTACTTGCCAAGTAAATAGCAGGCATACGTCAGTACACAAATGAACGCGGGCATTCTACACAGCTATGAAGTTTCTTTAAATATTCCTAATCTATTTATACCCTTTGATTTGGCCTATAAGGGACATTGAAATTGTAACTGTTTTTAAAACTAAAAAAAAAAATAACAGGAATGTAAACTGATAATTCACTTTTGAAAAAAAAAAACTGCTAGTCTCTTACTTATCTTAGCTACTGTACTTTATGCATATCATACTTATACATTAATTTCGAAGAATTATATAACACTTTTAAAATTTCATTTATTAAGGTACATTTAATACAATTTAATTCGTTTTCCTAGACATATATCACCTCAATTAAGATTATTTTAAAAATAAAAAATTGAGCATAGGTATTTCATTTGACAAAAGGCCATTTTCCCTTGCCCCTTAATTTCTTATAATTGACCTGTATAGTCTGATTTTTCATTCATTTTTATTTTTTCAAAAAAGGGTTTTAAAATGCCCAGCACAATGAAATGCATATGCTCTGTTTTACATTCTTGGCATGTTTTTTTCATGTTTAAAAGCACATTGAGGTTTCCATAATACCGTATATTCCGGTGTATAAGCCGCAAATTTTATACGCGATTTTCCCCCTGAAGTTTAGGGTGCGGCCTATACACCGATCATTAACCAAGTTCAGATCGCGAGCCACGGCGAAAATCAGGCGCCGTCTGTCTAGGTTAGGCCCACGCTAGCCCAATTAATTAGCCTAGGGTAGGACCGGTTTTTAGGCCTAATATTTGTAATTATACTCACTACAGTGCTGTGCTAGGATTCCTACTACATTTTCTACGACATTAGCAATGATTTGGGTTGTCTAAATAATTACTTTCATAATTACGTTCACTCGTAAACAATTTTGAAACACGCTGTTTCTGTTCGAAAGCGCTTCGCTCAAAACAATAACAAACTACTTTTCGGGAGTTAATTGGGTCCTTGAGGTCACGTGAGCAGCTTCATTTTCGATGTCTCAACAAAACACACGTGGGCTGGTAAAACTTGCTGTTCGACGTCTGGTTCCCGGTTGCTTGTACCGTTATACTATTGATACCGCTATAATTTTAGAATAAAAACTTGTGAAATTAATTTATGCTATAAAAACACGAGTTTTCTTGAAGTTGTAATAATTATTTTACTGGAATTTAACTGTAGAAAGGCATACATCATCCACGATATTTCTCCAGTTCTGAGTTTTGTTTATAAAACGTGGTGCGTGATGGTCCATGCTTCGCACAGTGGGCTGTGAATAGTAATGACTTAGGCCTAGAATTACCAATATTTTTAGCCTAATACCAACTGTTATTAGTCAACATAATAATAGAATGATTGCTTAAAATAGATAAATATACTCAATAAGTGTTTTATTTTTTTTAACTAAACTGATGTTGAAAATTTAACGTAGCACGACAGTCTAGCAAAAAATGGGGATTTCCCTAGGGCCGGCTGCCTAGAGCAAGAATACGTTGTTAACATGGTGGTAGCCAGCAGTTTACACGCATTTCCAGTTGTTTGTTGTTTAATAATCGGCCGAAAAGATGAAATTTCTTTATGTGAACATTTATAAATAATGTCAATGTTTCAAAATAATTAAAAACTTAACATTATGGGAACGGTTTGGATCTTAAAAATAGGTGCGGCTTATACACAGGTGACACAAAAAATTGTGATATTTGCGTCCTAATTTGGGGGGCCCTTATACACAGGTGCGGGTTATACACCGGAATATAGGCCTACGGTATGTGCTCTATATACTGTATAAGTTAGCCATTATTATTCTTATTTCAGATTTTGTTATTGTTATATCTTTCAGCAAATGTAAAACTCCGAAAAAAGTTAGTACAAGCCAACATGATTCAATATTTCAAGTTTGATTTGTTCACCTGCAGAATTCACACTATCTGATCTTTTAGCAAGAATTTTAATTTAGCTTGCTACCATCGGACATGAAAAAGCATCTTTGTGGACAGCTACTTCAATATACAAAGAATGCTGGTTAATGCATGCTAACACACAAGGTTCATGTGATTATTGTTTTATATACAGTTATAAACTCCAGTGATGCTTTAATATAATAGGCCTACATTACGGACAAAAATGCTGATTTATACAGGACTGTAATGCGAAGGACTCTAGCATAAGCTTGAATTTGAGGTACAGTATGTGTAGCAGAAGACTTATACCACTTTTTAATTAAAGAAATTATGGTTTGTATATCTTAAACTCAGTGTTTTTTGTAAGTCTACAGGAGTTGATTAAAGCCATTGTTATTTTACAAAAAGGATCTGGCACCAATTGAAGACCAGTTGGAACTTGGACCAATTGAAAACCATTTGGAACTTGGATCAATAAAGACCAGTTGGAATTGGGACCAGTTGGAACTGAAACCAGTTGAAGACCAGTTGAATTGTCCAAAAACACAACACTCAACTGGTTCCAGTTAAAACTGGAATTTAAAACCAGTTGAAATTGGGACCAGTTGGAACTGGGACCAGTTGGAACTGGGACCAGTTGGATTGTCCAAAGACACAACACCAACTGGTCCCAGTTCCAACTGGTCCAACTGGAATTTAAAACCAGTTGGAGTTGGGACCAGTTGGAACTGGGACCAGTTGAATTGTCCAAAAACACAACACGTAACTGGTTCCAGTTCCAACTGGTCTAACTGGAATTTTTACCTGGAATTTTTTTCATGAATATATATGATGAAAATCAAAATTATACTGCATTTAATTGTTAAAAAGCGGGAAACGTTTGAAAACGAGATCATATATACCGTAAATGTGCGTTGTTGAAGATTGTTAATACAGTTAAACTTGCCTAAAAGTCGAATAATTTCCAAGTCGATCTTATTTTACATGCCAAATTGTTGTGTTTTCCATTAATTAACAATCTGTAAGTCACATTTTATCTAAGTTGAACAATATTTCAATGGCATTTTGGATTTGACTTAGGCAAGTTCAACTGTATCAGCAAATTTTATTAACTTTAATAACGAAAACATATCATTAGTATGGCTGAAATGTTGGGATAAAGAAATAATTCCAACAGCTTTCTTTTGGAGTTTGGTAAATTTGTCTACAGTATAAGGATAGTTGTTGGCTTAGAGAATATTACAGTAACTTATATCTAGCATAGTTGCCAACTTTTCCCAAAAGAAATCTGTGAGAACTCGTGTTGCGTAGGTCTGGCTGGGGGTCTAGGGGAGAGGTCCCAGGGGCCAGGGGTGAGGCCCTGTGGGTCAGGTTGACGAGCATTTGACGCTCGCACAATCAGAGCATTTTTTTTTACTTAGACTACTGATTTGATTGATCTTGGACACTAAATTAAGTCAAGTGTATGACTTAATAATTTAACCAAAAAGTTATACTCATACAGTACTGTTAACTTAGGATGAGTACATGACAGTTGCTTGGTGTAAAATTAAAACATTTTTTACGGACTCACTTTAATCATGAATCACGATGTACAGACAGGACTTTCATGTGGAAAACAGATAAACAAACAAACAAACCATGCGCGGTGCATTACTGGGTAATAAAAGTACACTGCCAGTAGCAGGCGTAAAGGGCGTCGTTTGTTTACGATTCAATCCGTATAAGTTGGCAACTATGCTCTACGATATATTTTCTGTGGGGGCTAAGTTGTCTGACAGGGGGACTTGAGCTCGTAGGCTCGAGCTGGGGGAAGGGGTTGAGTGGGGTTCCCGCTCCCAAATGAGATTTTTTTAAAAGAATATCAATCTCTAGATGGCTGAAAATGGCACTCTCAGACTGTGACAGACATTGGCTTTGTGTGGGCCTATTGTTATGTTCTGACTGCCCGGCGAGCTCTGTCCGACAGGGGGCTTGACCTGTCCGGTGGTTTAAAAAGTCTATAAATAATACCTATGTTTTTAGATATTTTTTTCAGAAATATTTTGTATGTGATGTTTCCAATTTAACTGAGAGTCAATAGAAATACCCAGAAAATTAACTTTGTCAACTAAGGGCATAGCCACATTTATTTAATTTAACTATCTTATTAGAAGGTTGGAAAGGTTTATTACGACCATTAAAAACAATAGCATTACACTTAAACAGTAAAATAATCAATAACAGCCTTAAATTCCAGATTGACAACTTCAAAGAGAGAATCAACTTTATTACTAGAATATACTTTATTACTAGAATATAAAATTGTGGTATCATCAGCATATAAATTGATCATTAATATAGAGTATAAAAAGCAAAGGAAGAAGTGTTCCTTGTGGTGCCTTATTTTTGAATGACATAATAACCTTAACCAAGTTTCATAAACGGGGCTTAAAAACAGTTAATTACAGGAGCTGGATAATCATAAAAACGAGAATTTGGATTAGTATTATGAATTTTGCTAGCCAGTGTGGGACCATATTCAACAAAAAAAAAAAAATCATTAAAACAATTTGTAATCACATTTGGATCATTTGACATTGTACCTTTTTAAATTAATACTATCAGGAGATTTTAGATTATTACTCTTACTGAGTAGTGAATTAATAATATTCCATCTCCTTTTTATATCATTTGTACTTTGTTGAAATTTATTATTGAAATAAACAGACTTTGAATAACCTTAGTTGGGGTATTTCTATTTCTTTTATATATTATCTCATTATTAGCTGTTGGATTATTTAAGAATCTCCCGTCGGGGATAAAAACCACAATTCGTCGGGGAGAAAACAAAATTCAAAAAAATTATATGTATTTTGTACATATAATCGAAACTAAAATTCGATTGAATAAGCCTTTTAAACCCCTAAATTGTCATTTTTTTGGGGGGGGGGGGGGGGGGGGAAACTGATTAGAAACAGGAAGAAAAGGATTGGTTATATACTTAGGGGAAACAGTTTGCTGAAAGCCATAATTGAAGGAAAATTGAAAGAGAAGAGAAGGGTTAGCAGAATAAGGGTTTATTAGACGGTTTGGAATCGGGTTGCGATGTTGCAATAGAAAAAAAGAAAAAGGCACAAGGTTGCAATGTATTGCGAAAGGCACAAGGTTGCAATGTATGGTGGAATGGAAAAGGACATGCTGAAATAAGTAGAATACCGATGATGACGAAGGCTTATATTTTAGCACCTTTGTGAAATTTTGTTACCGAGACTGTTGATAAGATAAAAATTATACAAACTACATACCTGCCAGTTGACTGTTAATGTAGATGAATTTATATGTTGGATTGTAATAGTTGGTGAGTTCAATGGTTCTGTGAGATAAACAACACTTATTTACTATAGATCTGTACCTTCAATTCCTAAACAGTTGTTCATCTTTATTCCTAAATAATGCTCTGAAATTTTACTATATAAAATTATTCATGAAGCATTCGAAACTAGTAATTTTATAATTGACATACTACATTGAATGTTTATAATTATTTTCACCTTTAAATTATATGTTCAAATACTGATACATTTCCGCAAAAATTTATAATTATATTAGCCCTTAAATAACTAGATTTGATGTTCAAAATATTGATACATTTCCACTTTCTGTTTTAAGAATAAAAGTTAATGAGCAATAAGCAATAAGCCCAGAGCAAGAAGATTTCTATTTAGGCATGAGAATGTGCGAAGCCAATCGACACCTTTTTTTGGGGCTACCTTTTGCTGCCGGTAACGTAACAGCTATTTCTCAGTGGCTAAAGGCCTCACACCGAATCGGGGTTTTCCCGATAGGAAAGCTTACCAAATCGATCAGAAAATCAAATCAGTCTGTAAAATAGGGACATCAGAAATGCGGTCTGAATTTCGGTTTGGATTCTATTCTTTAATAGGCGCTTTAAATGTGTATTATTATTATTATTAAGGGAGCAGGCTATTGCCACATGCGTCCATTGCCCGAGCGGGCTTTTTAAGACACAGAACATTAAAAAATACGTTCTATAAAATGTAAAAACGCCGAAGCAAGAAGTTTGCCCAACCCACTGAGCTCTCTATCCGGACACAGCCCCAGGGTAGTAGGGCCCAAAGGAGATTTAAGCAGGGGCCACAGGTCTCTTTGTTACTCCACTGTGGTTATGGTTTGTCCCGAGACGGACCATTTACTGGGAATAATAAGGCAAAGCAAAGTCCATTTTCAAGATCCATGTAAAAAAAAAAAGTTTATGCTTGAAGTGCTTTACGCTCAATTAATTGTTAGTAAGGGTAAATGAAGAATGGTGGATGCACCCACTGCATGCAAATAAATTACATTTAGGTTGTGGTCGTAAAAACGCCAAAGCAAGTAGTTTGCCCAACCCACTGAGCTTTCTATCCGGACCCAGCCCCCAGGGTAGTAGGGCCCAAAGGAGCTTTAGCAAGGTGCCACAGGCCTCTTCGTTACTCCATTGTGGTTATGGTTTGTCCCGAGACAGACTATTCACCGGGAATAAGGCAAAGCGAAGCCCTGTTTCAAGATCCATGTAAAAAAAAGTTTTTCCTGGAAGTGCTTACACTTAACTTGTTAGTAAGGGGTAGATGGAGAATGGAGGACGAACCCACTGCATGCAAATAAAATACATTTAGGTCGTGGTCGTAAAAACGCCAAAGCAAGAAGTTTGTCAATCCACTAAAATACATTTAGGTCATGGATATTGTTCCTACTGTACAACCTGAAAAAAATGAGGCGTTGATTGGTGGAGCTGGCTCGACCCTAACCTTGACATTTGGTTAATGCGCTACTAGGGTATGTCAAAATAATATCCATAGTGATGGTCTGAAGCATAACTCACCTAAGCAGATAGTTGCTTGTGACACAGCCTGACTATCGGGTCCGCAGACTTCTGAACCACCGATATTCTTGCACACACAAACCTTTACCTCAATGGTGCTATTTGGCGGTAACCCAGTTATTATATGTGTACTATCTTTTGTAATGATTGAATGAAATTCTGAGTCTATGTGACTTCGAAAGAGGACTCTGTATGATGCAGCCGGCCCTGTTCCATAATCTTCTCCAAATTTCCAACCGTATTCTATTGTCATATTTATGGCTGCGACGTCAACGATATTAGGTGGCGTGTACCTATATGGTAAAGCTAGAGGATTGATAAAACATATACAATTTTGAAATTCTGGAAATATTTTTTTTTCTCGCAACTAAAAAGTAACACAACTCGCAACAGCTTATTGAGCACTGCATACCGTTAATTAGCAATAGTAACGGAGTGTTATATAATCGTTTTTGTTCAGATGCAAATTTTGAAAAAAATAATTCAATCACATGAAAAAGACCTACCTATCTGGCAATCGTTACCACCCCATCCAGCATCACAGTCACCATTACAGTTACCAGTATTCTTATCACATAATGATGATGTTGCACAATGACAGGTATACTGACAGAATTCACCAAACGTTCCATCAGGACATGATTTGTGATCTGAAATGTTGATATCCAAATTTCATAACGTATGTAATCACGATAGACGTATGTAATCACGATAGATTTTCCTACCTTTATATTCATCAATTTATTAATAAGGGATTAGAATTATCAATAATCACAATAAACAATCATAAAAATAAACAATAAAAAAACTTAGTAGGCATTGTTAGTTTTTTTAATCAGTAACACCAAGCTTAAAGGCAATTCAATGAAATTTTTCTTTTAAAATTTATGGTAATGCGGGGAATTTGATGAAATTGATGATTGTTGGACACTTTACCTAGTCCTATTCTAATTTCATCTTACAGGCGAAGTGTTCTATGCTTTGAAGCTAGGAAAACAAGTTTATATGTTGTACAACTGGTTTTTTAGACACAAAAAACATATTTTACGAAACATACTATACGTTAATAAGATACAGATTTTATATTATTTAAAACGGGAGAAAATGTGGCTTAAACACTCATTTCATTTCATTTATTCATCTAAAAAAAAATACAATTCACATAAAATATCATACACAAAAAAGACGGAGAGACAGGAAATCCAAAAAGAGAACTAAATCAACTGTCAAGTGGATTTCCTAACAAAAAAACAGACAGACACAAAATATATAAATGTATATGAATATAAATATCAAAATCAGCCCTTAAAATAATCTTTCAATGCTTTATAAAAATATTCAAAATTTAAAATAAGTTTATCACACACATTAGTCGGCACTCCTTTTCCATCTATATCAATAAATGTTTTTTTTCCCTCCGCTCCCTGGAACCATGGCATTGCCAGAGACAAACATGTTCAAATATGGACAAAATGGATCAAAATATGCTTGAATTAGTAAATGTAAATATGTAAAGTCTGCTTATTTAAAACTATTCGACGACTATGCATCACTTTACTACTCACCACGCCACCAAACTCATATTTTGCGACAGGCGAAATTTTTTTTAGGATACTTCAAAACAGGTGACGCCAGTCAGAGAGAGCTCAACAAAAAGCCTATTAACTTGTTTGTTTAATGTTGATGCACCTTAGCTGGCATGTCCCTGCCTGGACCATACTCTACAGCTAACACCCTTCCATTAAAACTTTTTCTATGCAACTAACTCTATCTTATGGTTTCTCTACCAGGCCTACTCCTGTCAACACAAATTAACATATTTCCCCCCCCCCCCCCCCACCTCTTCCCCACCACTTGTCCCTGAACATATCAGAAGTTGCCACTTGCCTAAAAGTTAATCATATTCATGCAACTTTACACTACCAGGGATTCATGCTAAATCAAGCATCAGTGTATGCATAGTCATTACTGGTGGTCTAAGGTACAAATTGAATATAACATATTACAAGATCCACTCTGTAGCCTCCATCAGACAAAAATATTCTATGTAAGTTTTACAAAGTATCAGACTGTAAAGATTAATTATGGGCCTAAATAAACATTTATAAATCTTTAAAATTGTCAGAGCTTTTGGGGACTTTGCCCACTAGACCCCTCAGGAGATTCTGAGCGGCTATCGCCTCCCCCCACCCACTTGCGCTCCCATATATTCCTACACCAACTCCGCCAGTGACATCAATTATTCCCTCACTTGGCGCCACATATTTAGTGTATTAGGGTATTTTAATGATTTTAACAATCAAAAAGGACCCCACTGGAAATAAGTCTTCTTTAGACTTTCTATCCATCAATTCAGCAAGGAAAAAAAAAATCAATTTATAATTTCAGTAAAATTGTAGTAAATGATTGAAAATAGAATTTGAAATGGCCCAACAAAACCTTCAAAGAACATTGTATCAACAGGGGGCTTCGGCCACTGCACTCAAAAGTTACTTGCAACAGCCGATTATATCAACTGTAAAAATAAGTTGGCCCTTAAAAGAACCAGATACCTACAAAGAGACCAAGAAAGTGATGGATGGACTGCATTAGGCAGGATCGCAAAGTGGTGGACTCGGAGGAAGTATTGTATATAAATATTATCAATAAAATCCAACTCGCTGCGTTGGTAAACTGAGAAATAGCCGAGAACATGAGATAAAACCCATACCACTGATTAACACTGATTAATAGACACAATCTGGTCTAGACTTTTGCAATATTAAATTTAAAATTTAGATAATTACCAAGACATGCATCTCCAGTGAATCCATTGTTACATGTAGAAGTACTCAAACAGCCCTTTGTGTTGTCGCAACCATTTACACATTCACATTTCTGACTACAGTCTGCACCATAATCATTTCCCGTACAAGCTTTATTGATAAACAGAAAATCAATTAATTATTGATTATTCAACAGGATTGCAGTCAAACTTGCTTTATATTGACAAAGTGAAATTAGGTCGGCCTGTGTCCTACTATAGAAAAGTCGATAAGATTTGCGATGGGCTGTGATAGCACAACAACAACAGTAGTAATAATAATAATAATAATAGTAATAATAATAATAATAATAATAATAATAATATATTTAACACTTGTATAGTGATTCATGCCAATAAGGCCTCTAAGCGCTCCTGTAAACTAACTTATTTTAATCCTGGTAAGAAATGCAATGAAAAATTGCCAAATTATATTTTTATTCTCATTCTAAAAATCTATTTTATACTCTCAATACTCTAAATACTTTTGATTTTAACAAGCTTCAAACAGTCATGTTAATATTTTGTTTAAACAACAATGAGCTTCCCTCTCATTTTTATACATTTTTTACTAACTTCTGGCAATACCATTCATATGATGCAAGGTCTTCAACTGCCAAAAATGTTATTTATGAAAGAAATACCCTTTTATTGAGAAGAACATCTTTTATATACAATGAGCTATATTTATGGAACAATTTACCATGTAACCTTCACTTAACACATTCTTTGAAATCGTTTAAAAGAAAATATAAACAATTGTTGATTCATTTGTATGCTTTACCCTCTATGAATATTGATATATGTTGCATCAACCTATTCACTGTTGTTATAGGGCCATATACGACATGGTTATTGAAATATCTTGTGTAAGCAATGGATTTTGGAGCTGGTTAGCAGCTTAACGACAAACAATACACAACAACAGGAGACGGGAGATGGATGAAATATTTATAGCGAGTACAATTAATATCTTACATAATATTATTATTCCATTAAGGGCCGAAATGGCTTACACAAGGTATTTCAATAATCATAGATATCAATATTGCTGGTAAGAATTTGTTTGTTCTCTCTGAAACTGGATTTTGCTATTCCAATTCTTCTCCTTACATTTTTCTCACATCGATCATCATCTGTTATAAGACTTCCAAGATAGCAGAATACACATTCCCCTCCCACCATAACTCCATCAAAATTTCCATCCTCTACTTCCCTCCTCATGTATTCTACAAAATGAAATCCTTAATTTCGACATTGGTACAATGTAAACATGTATTCGTATGGCTATGCAGAATTTTATTATACTATTGTTCAGTCAATTTCATTAGAGTAGCGCAGTATTCTTTAATCGTTTCATCATGCTTCTGTTCGCGTTTGTAGAAATGAAAACGCCCTGCCATCTTGATCGGCTTCGGGCTGAAGTGTTCATTTAAAATCTTAACTAAATCAGTATATCCTTTATCACCGAGCTTCTCCGGGCTGACAAGATCTCTAAGGAAATTGTAAGTTCGTCTCCCTAGTGAGCTGATGAGCACTGAAACTTGTTTTTCCACGGCTATACTATTAGCCTTGAAATACTGCTCGAGCCGCTCCTGATATGAGCTCCGTACTTCCCTCTTGTCATAGCGTTGAATATTACCAATGATGGTTTTCATTTTTGCAGCTGTAAATACGCAACTCGTGTAAAAAATCACAGTGAATCACAACACATTGATAGGTCGCCTGCGGCATGGTCTCTCGATCCAGTCACTATGGCTCAATGCCAACATATTGCGCAAAAACGCAATACTAGTCTTATATATGAAAAATCTTAATGGGGCAATTTCTGGGGTGTAGGCTTAGGTGAGGGTACAGAATAGGGTATGCTATGATGGATTCCAGAAACCAATACATTGATCATAGAATAAAATGCATTTGTATATTAAATCTCTAAAGGTACAGTTGGTTTTATTTTTAATTATTTGTTACAACGCACCATTATCACAAGTAACACCACTGAAACCAGCTTGACATGCACATCCACTGGGATCAGGAGGACAGAACATTACCCCTTTACAGTTTCCTCTCGAAGAGCAAACTATACTGCACGTACGCCCCCAGTTATTATTTCCACAACCTATAATTGATGATTTAGAAAAGGAACATTAAATTTTATCAAAAAAAGAAATACACATAACATTATAACACAGAAAAGCTCAAACAAGGTTGTTCTTCCCTGGGGCCATACATAAAATACAGACATGTAAATGTTAAAATGTTAAATTTAAAAGTAAAACCATTATTCAGAAAATAACTTAAGCACGAAAAAAATCAAAATTGAACATAAAATTACAACTTTGAAATCGATTTCTTATATTTGTTTAGGTTAGTTGCAATTAGTTGACTATCAAAAAAGTGCATTTCACATATTATGAAATACTTTTTTAAAATTCTGTTTCAGGTAAATGAATTTTAACAAGGGAATTTTGGCGAAACTATATTCATGGTTTGAAAAAATATCATGAATATTCACCAGAAGTATATTAAGATATAGAGTTTTATACATAAGAATTGCTACATGATAAGCTTGCTTTTTGGCAATTTTAGACCATATTTAAATGGTCTTAAAAGACTTTTAAGTAGTACTTGTACAATTTAAAATGACACAGGATGCTCGATCCTAACATGCTTTAGTACCGGTAGTAAATTTACTTGCCGAATTTAATACTTCAGCTAGTTGTTAATGAAATAAATAATTTGGTACCAAATTTGGTATTAAAAATAAAAACCCCCATATAAACAAGAAATATCCGCCAAATCACATTTTAATGTTTTTTTATTTACCTTCTGAGCAGTCTTCACCTTGAAATCCTGCTGGACAGACACAAAATCCAGTCACATCATCGCATATTCCTCCATTGTAACAAACAGGACACTTTAAATCACAGTTTGATCCATACATTCTTGTAGGGCAACCTTTCAATTTTAAAGTTTAAAAAAACAGGCGTAAAGCATGCACAATACCTCTCATAGCTGACCTATGTAATTGTTTCATACACAGTATAGAAAATACAGTATAGAACCCTGTTTATTGTATGCGGTAGTAAATGACGGACGATTTTACATATTATAGTTAAGGTTGATGTTTAGCATAAGCCTGTATGTGTTGGCCTATATCCTTCTACTTTCTTTTTACAATGTGTTCCGACCCTTATGGCACCTAAAAAAAAATTAATAATATTATTGTACAGTTTCTCTGTTTATTTAGCATTTCTTAGCCACAGACTAACAAACATACAAACCGTAATTTTTCGAAGGAATTGCTAAAGTTCATTTTAATTTTTGGCCTAATTTGGTATTTAGGATAAGTCACACTCGACGAGCCTTTGCATCGTACTCTCAGCTACTTAGAATTTTTGCATGGCCAGTATCAAATATCAGCCAATCGCGTATTCAGTGAGTGGAAGTGGGAGCATACAGTACCCTATACAATTGTGCCAACCGCGTGGTGGTGTTGGAATAGCCAATTTAACAATGCAATGGAAGCGTTGATAATGCCCGGTATAGAAGGAACTTGTATTATCTAAATTTAAATTTATTAACAACCATGCCGGTATATAAAAGAACATGCATTTATATTTTTACTATAGAACGCAATCTTTGATTATATATATGCTTACAAACTTTTCCTATTAGCAGGCTCTAGCATCAGTGGGGAATCTAAGGGTCTTGAAGGGGAGCTGATCATGCCGGCTAGGTGAAGTGGGAGATCGATGAATAGGTGATGGGCACTAACTTGCAACATTCAGGAATGACATTTCCTTTTTCATTTTAATTCTCTTTTATTCTTTTTACTTGTGATCCACTAGTGATACTGAAAGTGTTATCACACAAACAGAAATTAATAAATAAATAAAATTTAAGGTGATTTTTAACCACATGAGCATGATTTTGGGTGACTAAGGGAGTGGGGGGGGGGGGGTGAGTTTTTTTTGGGTGGGGCTGCGCCCCTCTCCCACACCTTAGATACGCCACTGTCTAGAATACCCTGCAACTATACTCTACCGTCTGCCACTGGTGGCACCAAACAGGTGTATGATATTATGTTACTATTTTGTTCATGCATAAATAAGGCCTTATGGTTTTATTACTTAAAAAATTATTACAACTCTATATAGGCATTTTATTATACCATTCAAATATTATATTTACTATTAAACTGATTCAATATACCAATTATTAACCATATAGTTTTTCGTAACTTAATCGTTCCGTTCATATCGTTATTTTTTAATATACAGATATTATTTTATTATACTGTATGGTGTATACGATTAGTTTGAATGCAAGGGAAAAGAAATGTTGGTATAATAAAAGTGGCATATATTGCATACAAACTTGTCTCTATATTTATTAGTGTGAACGTGTGACACAAATATATCTTTGAACACTAGGTTATTTGCTTTATAGTGTGGGGTCGGGTTGGAGATGGTAGTAGATCTATCTTTTAAAAACTATGTCTACCTCTAACGATCAATCTCATGATTGCGTGTTTTCCGTTTCTTTCTCCTGTGTAGCATTCATAGATTCCAGCATCACTTGGTCTGACATTATTTATGGTCAACGAATCTTTACCATTTCCTTCAGGTATACTATTGTTATTTAATTTCCATAGAAAACCAGAAATATCTCTTATGATACTGGTTACACTTAAGGTCACATTATCTCCAACACTGGCGGATATAGAACGTCTATCGGGAGTGATTTCGGCTGAAAATATAAATAAGGTTACAATAATATTAGACTCAAAGTATACAAAATTATATACACACGACAATATTTATTTTATTATTTCATTTTGTGTCATCTTCGGAAAAATATGTCATTATTTGTGGGCTGGCATGGCAAAATGTGTCTTGTGGTACAAAAAATGAAAAACGAGTTATTGATACATTTAGATAGAATACTATTATGCTTTATTTTGGTCTTTAAAATCATGTTCCTAGGTTGAGCAAAACTGGAGTAACATCATTTTAAAGTTCAGATGTCTAAAAATCGCCTTCAAAGATAAACAACTGATACATTTTGTCTTGGTTTTCTTATCAATTCAGAAAAATGACTTTACAAAATGTGCCTCAAAATATGATACCTTTATAGGTAATTCAACTTAGAACTTTTGCTACTACTATGAAATATACACATTAAACTTATCAGAAATAACTGAAGAAACCCAATTTTTGTCAAAATATTTCTTCAGATATATTTTCTTGAATATATCAAATTGACCTGGCGTACCACTAGACTCATTTGTCACGACAGCTCACATTTGTTCTTATATGCATGTTTAAAACAATCAACAATCTCTCTTGTGATCAGTTCGCAATAGAGAAAATTACGGCAAAAAATGACAATTCTTTTCCTATAGCTCCGTAATTCAATCCTTGTATAAAAACTAATGTATTAACGGAGGTGATCAGTCGTAATTTAGATTAATACCCAGATATTTGTTATTATTTTATTTATGATGGAAAATAAAGAATGATTGATTGATATATATTTTTTTTACATTGGAGGATCTTATCTAAAAAATATTTATGTGAATAATATATACTGTAATGTTTAACGATGGAAGATGCTGTAAACAAACATTTTTGGGCAGTGTGGTGAAGTCATCTTTAGATACAGACCTATTAAGGTTAGATGAATTACAATTCTTAAGACATTTTAATTGATTTCTAAACATATTGAAGACAAATGTTGCAGATGTCTTGTGATGGATGAAGTTTTATCTATTTTTATCGCTTTATGTATCTGTTTCAACATTTGCCAAATTGCCATAAAGGGAAGATTTGCGAATGTTAAAATTGAACAGGCAATATTCGGATGTTCAACAGAAGCAGTTTAGGCCAACAGTCAATACTGTAATTATATTCAACTCACTATTTTCAGACAATATGACGAATGCTATATGTTGGGATTTTGAATCTTTCGAAGCATTGGCATAGAAAGCTCCAACTTTCTCTTTCTTGGAATTCCCAGCAATGTTAATACGAAGTACATCAAATGTTCCAATATCATATGCAAATACTGTAGAATCAGTAGGAAACATTGTACCAGGCCTGACGGCTGTTGCATCGTTGTCATCATCATCATCATCATCACTCCATTCTACTGGATCTCCTTGGAGCCCAGTACCTGTGTCAGTTTCTCTACCAAGTAAGATCTCTTGAGTTTGATCTCCACCCCCAGTATAACCTCCAAATGTTGACATTACAGAGTCGTCAGTTATACTCACAGTTGGGTTGGGTAAGAAGATAGTTAAATCCAGGATTTCATCTTATAAACACAAAGTATACAATATAATAGTTAAAAATACAAAAATATGCATAATGAAGATAATAATATTATAACAATACAAATACAATATAATAATTCAAGTATAAAATGATAACATTAAATAAAGTGTGTCAGGCATAATGAGATTTATTTTCAAATTTCATTCACATCCAACAGCAAGTAACTCGGCAATTACAAGATGGATAATGCTTTATAAACCAAGTCTCTTTATGCGAGGCTTAGAAAGTGCATTTGAATACCTTTGGATAATCCTATGCAATTTACATGTGTTAACAGTTTTGAAAGTGGTTTGGCGCAGCGGGAACGGTTTAGTTTTCCAACCTCGATGTCGGGGTTTCAATCCCTCGAAAAAATAAACCGAAAAAAATTCCGAGACCCATAATACCGCTAGATAATGGAGCTTTTATTGAGATTGCTCGACTTTGCACCTCCGACTCCACAGTGTGCAAATGAGCAAAGAATCAAGCTCCCATAATATCTATTTTTACGCAATGTCTTTGAAGTCCAACAAGGTGTTCTCTGTGGGAAGGCCTTTCAAACCCTACTGGGCAAACCGGATATTCAGAAAAACTTGAAAGTCTAGGCGTTCGAGCTCTACACAAAAAAATCATTCCGAATAATTCTCCACAATTCCCTTGCTACAGCATGGATGGGAATCATATCACCTGTCAAAAAGCACAGAGAGCAGCCTCGTCAGTTTCTATGATGGTGCAATTTGAAGGTTAATGGCAGTTTCAAATTCTATTCTATTTTTAATTGTACTACAGTACAATATTTGGTTACTACATTATAATTATTGCAACCGTAAGAATTACTTAATAATTTGCCAAAAGAAGATAGACACTTCATTTTTCACTATTTCACTATTTAAAGAAATTATACAATGCTTTTTTAAATATAAATTTTCAACCAATTTCTTTTTAAACACTTCATAATTTAAAAATTTTAACATTCATTTTATATATTTTAGGTGTGTTCCACTAAATTATATTTTAACATTTTTACATTTTGAGCAAAAATTTGCATAATTATTTGTCACTGATTTTATTGTACAGTATAATTGGCTTTTTATCATATTGTGTTGTTCAATTGTATGCTTGTTTCTTTTGCTTTTCGTCACATGCAAGTCAATTTTCGAATTTCTATTTTTAATATGAGTTAATAGTTACAATATATATTAAGGAAACACTTTAATTTTTTTCTTTGCATCACAACAAATACAGGAGTCTCAAATTAAGAAAAATTCATTGAACTTTATATTTTGAGACCTGTTTAGCAATAAACCACAATTTTCTCCCCTGAATCCTTAGAGTAATCATCATTATAAGCCACTGCTTATTTTACTACATATAAGCCAATATTGTCAATTTTGACCCTATGGGGATTTCATTTTTGTTGTTTTTCGTGTAGTTTCATATAGGATTCGAATCAATACCATAACATGCACACTACATAATTCTAAGTTGTTACTCCATTCATGCTGCTTCCATCCAATAGCAAGCTCATTTAAGAAAAAGAATATTTGTTTATTAACATTGCATCACAAAATAATATTGGGAACTATTGTTGTTTTAATTACATTTCCGCTGATTTCATATTACGAATGATTTGTATGTGCATTAAGGGACAGTTTTACGTTTTCTTGTTAGTATTTAACACTTTTTTAGTTTTTAAGGTGTCTCCTTAATAGGAGTTCAACTGTATGACTTTTAATTTCTTTAAAAATTTATAAAAAATTAATTTTATTTCCTTCTCGTGTGCCAGAATGTATATTTCCGAAGGGCAAATCTAGCCTGCGGCCGCCTATTAAAATCCAGGGACCTAAGGCATAACAAAATAATATATGAAAGATCAATACAAGACTACTACAGTCAACAACAAGTAAACCGGATCGCTCATGTTATAAGATGTGAAAACTCACACCCATGTTAAAGGTTTGCGTTTCATTCGACGAAAATATGTACAGTGTGTAGAAAGACCACATCAATTCTTGAGAGTATTTTCTAGTGGAGTCTCAAAAAATCAATTCATCAGAAACTGTTTTCTAAATGTTGCGGTTGTCTAGTTATCGCTTATTTTCTTTTTCTTTCTCCAAGTTAGACTTTAGTAGCTGGCACAGCAATACAGCACTGTCAAAGTGCTTGGTAAAGTAAAGAAAAGGGTGGGTGGGGGGTAAGAAAGAAATAAAGAAAACAAAATAAGAAAGAAAAGTAAGGCAAGAGAAGGTAAAAATAAAGAAAAGGAAGAACATGAAAAGAAAAGGAAGATAATAAGGTAAAAGAAGGTAAAGAAAAAAGCATAGAAAATAAAAAGATAAGAAGGAAGAAAAAGAAAAAAAAAACAAGAAAAAGAAAAAAGAAAGAAAAGAAACAAAAAAATGTGAAAATGAAAAGATAAAAGAAAGAAACAAAAAAGAAATAAATAAAAGAAATGAAAGAAAAGAAAAGAAAAATAAAATGAAAGAAAGGAAAAAATGGAAAAGAAGACAAAAAAAGTATATGAAAAGAATAGATAAAAAACGAAAGGAAAAATTAAAAAAAAGGAAAGCAGTGAAAAAAAGAATAAGGAAATATAAGAAAAAAAAAACAAAGAAAGAGAGAGAAAAAAGAGAAAAGGAAGGAAAAGAGAAGAATAGAAAGAAAAGAAAAAAATATGAAATGAAAAGAAAAGAAACAAACGAAAGGCAAGTAGTAAAATATAATGAGTTGAGTTGTTCTTTTGTGATGATCTAATTAATATTTTAAAAAAGTATTGAGAACCCAATAATTAATATTAGATTCAGAGGAAAGGAAAAGAATTTTAAGTGGGACTAGTTTGGGCCCTACCTAAGCTGGTCGAACGTTTCGTTTGGGTCTGTACCCTAGCTGCACTGATGAGGCCTGGAAGGCCGAAACGGATCCGTCTGCAGATATTGGGATTCCTTCCAGTGGATGCTTAGTTTATTTTGTCATTCTGATCGGATTTTCTCTACTGTTCCGATTTAATTTTAATTTTAAATTCTTTTACATTATGTGGCCGTTTGCTGTTTTATGTTTTACAATTTTCCATCTCTTGACCATAGAAGACACTCAGAGATCAATCTCATTATCAAATTCAATACTCACATTTTAGGCCTTAACCATGACATGGGTATTCTGAGCGATTACACATTCACACGCACTTGACTTTTTTCATATCACCGTATTCCCGCATCATTATTTTATGTACACATTGTCATATTCCATATTACTTCTGCATCACTTTTGTATCTAGGCTTACCTAGTTTACTTTGTTTTTGTTTATTTTGTTAATGGCTTATTATTATTATTATTATTATTATTATTATTATTATTATTATTATTATTATTATTATTATTATTTTATATTACATTATATCACCTTTTCTATGATTGTTTGACTAAATGTCGAAAAATTCCCCTCATCCCTTACATGTTTAACAATTTCAATTCTGACTTCATAAGCTGTGTTGGCTTTTAGATTTGTGATATGATATTGAAGTGGATTAATGTCTCCTACCACTGTTCCCGCTGATATAAACATTGTCCCAGAATCAACGTATTCTCTATACTGCACAATGTATCTATCAACAGGTCCGCTACCATAGTCACTATAACTGTTCCAAGCATTCCAGCTTATTGTTATTAACTCATCTGTCACACGTAATAATCTCGGCGGAGTTGATAAATTTGGCAATGCTATACAAAAACGTGCACATTAAAAAAAAAATGAATTGTACTATTATATATTTGATTTAAAGAATAAAACAAAATATGAAAATTTTGGTAAATAAAAAGGAGTATTAAAAACACCAACATTCACCGTGCATTGCAACAGTCTAATCTATAAATTGTTATGATATATATATCACAGATAATGTCACCAAAATTTTGAACAAGTAAAAACAGCAAGTAAAAACACTAATTGTTACAGTGGTTCTGTTTACGGAACCAAGTGTTTTTTTATGCATAGCAATGCTAATTTGAATAGTTTTAGTTTTTGCATAATTTAAGAGTATGCAATTTAGATAGTCTGACAGAAAAGGTATTGGGGAATGGTCTTAAAGTAATTGACCATGTAGAAATAGATTCATGTTAAACAAATCATGGAACTTACTGTTCCATCGATTAGACTGTAAACGACAGAACAGGGTAGTGTAATGCAGACACTGGTAAGTTGATTGTTTTAGGAGAGTATAATACACACTCCAAGTATTGAAATACACGCTATTGTGTTGGGATTCAATATTTCGACATTAATTATGTCATCATCATTAATTATGCCATCATTCCTGATGATGACATAATTAATGTCGAAATATTGAATCCCAACACGATGGCGTGTATTTCAATACTTGGAGTATGTATTATACTTTCTTATCTGAGATTAATCTACTTTCTTATCCGAGATTAATCAGTGGACCTTTCGGTTTTTTATTGGTTTATTTCTGATAGCACAATGTGAATGAGATAGGTTTAATGTGTATGATATAGGCAAAACTTGATTGTTAAATGTTACAATAATTATATGATGATAATCAGTGATATTATTGGGGTTTTGTATTTATTATATTTTAGCTTGTAGAGGTATCGAGAGTAGTTGTAATCGTTTGAAACCAATGAAGCTTGTAGCTGTGAAAGGAAACAGTATTTGGAGCTCGGGTGGAACGAAATCAAAATAGCTTGTAGCTGTAAATAAAAGTAAACAGTTTGGAGCTCGGGTGGAACAAAATCACAATAGCAACAATACAGAGAGTTGAAACGATACCGAATTTGTAACGGTACCGAATTTGTAATAGTACCGAATTTGTAATCATCCCGGAATTGTATTGAGATACCGAGGGTGGTACAGAGAGAGAATTGAGATATTTATCGGAAACAGAACAGAACAAGGTAAGTAAAGCAGACTGTGGAAACGGAGGGGTGTTATTGGGGATTTTTTTAATGGTTCACTAATTGAGGATAATTTATTTAATGGTTAAT